GGGGGGGGGGGGGGGGGGGGGGGCGGCTCAGCAGCCAGCCGCCATGGGCTCCGCGGCGGTGCTAAATTTGACATCGCGACGGAATGATGTGGAAAGTTAATGAGGATAGGAATTGGTAATTGAGGTGAAATGTTCGTTTCTGTTTTTATGGGAGTCAATGAGTGAAATTAAACGAGGCTCTGTTTGATGACTCTTCGGGACAATTTGATGGAATTGGATTTTTGGTGAATCTGGCAACGTTGGAGTCTCGCTTGCCGCCCGGTGCATCGTGTGCTGGTCGCGTGGCTCCCCGGTGCCATGACACCTTTTTTTGAGCACCGTTGCCACTCAAAATGAAGGAAATGCCGGCGAGGACGCGACTTAAGCAGCTAACAAAATATTTAAAGCGAGTCGCTCGAAGGTCGCGACTATGTGAAACAATCATATGGATTACATTATCAGTAGTAAGGAACCATTAATTCTGACTCATTTTAGAAACCACATATAAGACATGGGTTTCCTTGGGCAGAAAGGTGCTTTTATGGAAGAGCTAGTGATTCCTTGTTGCAAAATGTAATCCATATAGAAGTAGTGAAGAAGTTTCCACAATAATAGGAAAAATAAAAGAAAAAAAAAACGGGGGAGGAACAGACATTTTAAACGTAACAAGTTTTTCCTGGTGCGGAAAAGTTACTACCTCTAGATAGGGGTTTCGTTTAGAACGATTTTTATTTCCATTCTCTTAATGAAACAGTCTCATATGACTCTCGTAAACGCGTATACGTCTTCCACCGCGGTTATGCATAGCATGGTTGCTTCCAACCTGGTTTCTGCAATCAATGAGACACACATTTACAGTGGTTGTCAGTGGCGTGGCGTGCTTTGCAATCTATCGATATTTCCCTATTTGAAGCTGTGTTAAATGGACTACATTTCGCAATTTGGAACTATAAATTCTAGCCCGGTTTAAAAACGACGCATGCGCCATTAGTTTCCCTGTGCACCTACGTGTTTTTTCACATGAGCCAGATTTTATAGTTCCAAATTGCAAAATGCAGTCCAAATAATAATCTATTATTAAGGTGTTCGCTGCGAACACCCTGTTCATCGATGCTTTTCCATAGGTTTAAATGGCAGATCAATCGATACATCGCAAAGTACGCCCCGCCACTTCTGGTCGCTCAACTCGAGAACGGATGATACAAACTGGAAGAAACCATGGTATGAATATGAACTACCGTGGTGGATGACCTCATATACGCGGTGCTTTTCGATGAACAATGTCTCCGTCAATTAAAAAGCGTTAATAGGGGGTGAGAAGGGCTAGGGAAGTAATTAATAAGAAAAGGGGGAAGGAAGTCTTCCATATTTTCATTTTTTCTTTTGTTCCTCTCTCTGGTTTTTAATTTTTTTTATAGTTATTCTTAAGGATTGGGTTTAGGTATAGGTACATATGTTACAAAATCAAGTTTAGGTATAGCGACCTTAGAGGGGGGTTATGTTATTTTTTTGTTTGCAATTTTATACATCGTATTTTAAAATGTATATAGTGTTTTGTCAAATGTAAAAAAGAGCATACTAAAATATGTAATCGAATCAAATTGAATTCAGGCGTAGAAACTTGACGATAGAACAGATCTTAATATTTCGTGCTAGTCTATGAGCTTCAACCATCAAAACATGATTCTGTTACCGGAGCGCAACTGACCCACTGCATTTAATTACTATAGTATCATGCATGGCACCATTTCCGTAGTTCCTATTATTTTTCTTCTTGTATCTTTTCCTCGTCCATCCTTACACAAACATAGCAAAACAAAGGAAAGACCGAAATGAAGTGAGACGACGCACACCGGAAAAAAATTCTCGGCGTTTTTACCAAGGTCCGTTGGTACCTTTACCATCTCACGTTTTTTACCGATTATTGGTAATTTTACCAAAACAGGCTGGTAAGCTTACCCAAAACCCGGTATTTTTACGGTTTTTTTCAGGTAAGAATACCACTTTTATTGGTAATTCCCGGTAACTTTCCCATTTTATCTCGGTGATTCTACCACAGTCGATAAAAAATATTGGCGTTTTTACCGGGGTCCAGTAAAATTACCGAGAAAGTCAATAATTTTACCGAGTTTTCTCCGTAAAATTACCAATTCCATATATGGTAATTTTACCAAGAAAAAACTGGGATCAAATAGAACCCTGAATTATTGGTAATTTTACCCTTTTCTTAGTAAATACACCGAGATTTTTTTTCAGTGCATTTTCCGCACGTGTTTACTGATCAATACTACTTTAAGGCGGATGATGAAGGAGGAGCGGTATCCTGCGGTCAAGCAAGTCTAAATAGAGACCGGAAAGAGGAGTAATTTTCAATTATTAGAGACGATAAAACGGAAGTTTTCATTGAAATCCACGACGAGGAGAGATCTGTGGCGCCTATGCGCTCACGCAAGGGACCAGGGTTTGTAATAGTATAGCCAGCGGGATCGGGGAGTTCTCCCGCGGCAGATGCGCTGGAGCACAGATCGCAGATGTCGAATAAATCGGTCGACAAAAAATCTTGAAAACCATCGTTTCCAACAGCCAGATGGACGGGGACGATCGTCTCGTGGCCTCCGGGTTGCGTACTCATGGTGAGTTAGCCGTGCGGTGGCGCGTGCCTGCATCTGCTCCCCCCCCCCCCCCCCCNTCTCAAAAGGCGTTACGCCATCCTTTTAAGGTAAATCCGGGCATTATTTCGATTTCTGTCTCTGACGGTTCCTGTAAGTCGAGTTGATTAGAATACTATTTTTTAGAAAAAAAAAATGTATTGGATTTTTATGGAAGGGACGGTTGTCCGGAGTGTTTAGTATTGAGACCTTTTAGAGTCAAATACCCGAAAATAAGGTCAAAAGTGGCAGATGTAGGGAGCGCTATTTAAACGTTTTTATCGATACATGTGATCACTTAGAGTGGTTTTGATGTCTTGTCATGCGTCACTGTCCTTGCTCCACCTTCATTTTTGGGTTTTGCACCGACACCTACTTTTAAGGCAAATTTTCATCTCGTGCGGAGATGGTGTTTCGTATTTTTGTCTTTTTTTTAAAAAAAAAAGAAAGAAAAATAAATAGATAAGTAAATTGATACTAGTTAAGGCATAAAATGGAGCAGATTTTGCAATAAAGAACCACTATTTCTGGCTCATAATAGAAACAACATATATGCCATTGGTTTCCCTTTGCAGAAAGGTGCTTTTATAGAAGAGCCAGAGACAGTGGTTCCTTATTTCAAAATGTAATCCAAATAATACTTCCCTGAATTCACCTGACATTGAACTGATATTAGAGGCAGAAGACAGATATTCTCAGAAAATTGAGCAAGGGAGAAAAAGAACTAGAATGTATGCATGAATATTCTTAAGTTTGCCGACAGAAGTTTTCCTCTTGGATGAAGAGAACATGGCCTGAACAAGGAAATGCTATGGGGAGTAAAGAAATCCCCGTGGAGAAAAGAGGTTTGGGAGGAGCGCTCCAATGTTTCAAGATAATTGAGGCATCTTACTATCAATTTTGACAGTTTTGTACTAAAAGATTTATTGAAATACACTTTTTAAGGATGACACAAACGTCACGTACTAAGTTCTCAAACCCCTTATACGTTTTCCGAGTAAAATTCTAAGGGGGTAAAGTCCGCTCAGGTCCCCCTAACTCCACTTGTGCGTGCTTAGATATTGTCATTGTCCTCACAACTCTCGTCTTATCACATCAAGGAGTAATGAATGAGATTTGCTTTTATTATTCCTAGTGCTCAATGAACCACTAGACAAGGTGCAAATACAGCATTTTGATACATGTTTCTTAACCAAAATTTTACATAGAACACGATTCGCGCAACGAAAATTGTCGAAATTGACTCCTTACGAAGATATTTAATGATTCCTGATGCGTGAATTCAAACCACCCGCTCATGAAAACTCAATGCTCTGCGTGATTCACATCGCGCGCTAAACGTTGTCATGACAGTATCTGCGATATAAAAATCTGGCAACCTCAATTTTGACGCTTTGGCTCAGCTATAGCAAATTGCTAATAGTTTGAACAACACATGGTGGGAAATGAACATTGCACGATTGAGAAGCTTGCTGAAACCGTTGTAGTGGGCGATTTGACTCACGTAGAGCTTCGAGTTTCTTGTGAGCGGGCAGTTCAATTCCTTGTCACCAATGTGAAATAAAAACGTTAGTATCTTCGTGTTCGACGTAAAATTCTGGTTAAGAAACATGTGTTAGATTGCTTAAATTCTTACCTTGTTTAGTGGTCCATTATAGTAAGATTGAGATTTTGTAAGAAAGCTCGGAGTGTGGCAGCTCATAGGTGAGGAAATCTATCGTTTATTTCAACAAACGGTAGGTAGGTATATTCTCCGTCGCATCCTGTTAAAGAGGCTATCACGCGCAAAGGATCAATTTATTTATTATTATAGAACGCTTACTTCATTACAAAATCAAAACTTCACCCGTCCCCTTAAAATTAGGCAAACTTCTAAGTCTGCCGTACACAGCAAAAACGCCGTAACTCCATTCAAGATTTTGCATTTTTTAAAATCAACCTATGTCGTGTAACTTTCAGCATGTAACTGTAAGCACGTAACTTTCGCCACATAACGGTTTATAATTGGACGTATTTCTATCAAACGGACCTAGGCGCCATAGGGTGAGGAATGTAGAGGGGGGCTTGGATTGGCGGCGGAATCGGGCGTCCGGCTTATTCCGT